CCCCCCCCCCCCAATTATCGACCAGGCGGCGCCACTGTAAGTGACATATAAACGCATATGAGGTATGAATTTTAACTAATTTTAGCATGCTCATTCATTTGGTGGTATCCTCAAAGTGATCAGAGGTCAAGGTCATGCATTAAGATCAAGCATTAAGGTCAAAATAAATTATCAAATAAGCTGAAATAATTAAGAAATGGAAAACATTTTCTGTGCTTCTATAGAGTTATAGAAACACATGTGAAAGTTTGGGAGAAACAAGAAATTGCGTGGGAACAAGAGCACGAAGTGCAAGTGTTTCCATGCAATTTCAAGTTTCTCCCAAACTTTCACAAGTGTTTCTATAAACTCTATAGGAACACAGAAAAAATATTTTCTATTTCCTTTATTAAATAGCCTTTTAAAAACAATAGAAAAGATAAATTTATTTATTTTAATTGCTTTCATTCAAATATTAATTCCACCTTAATATACATTTGTGTAAAGAATAATTATAAAAGCATAGCGAAGTAAACACACATATATCGCTGTCAAAACAACAGACAGCACTTAACAGGCTTGCTTTACTAAATATATAATTCACTCAACAACATACATGCTTGCATGCAAAGAAAGCACTGTTTTAAATAGTTAGTGAACGTTTAAACATGATTAAAAACTGTAGTAAACATGATTAAAAACGTCACGAGGAAATATTTATTTAAAAAGACAAAGTAAAATTAAAATATCTTACCTTGGTAAACAGTCAAACAGATACAACGTGTGCTATAATTATACTTTGTGCTTTAGGTCTTCACTTTCTAAGTTAGCAAAGTGTTGCCTTTTTTTGTAACGGTTCTTCAGCATTTTGGGACATTTTTCAACTCTTTTCAAAATTAAATATTGTTTGTATTCTGTCTTTTAAACTCCCGCGCAATCCACACAACCCGCATGAAAATTCCCTGTTTCTATCGAGTTATAGAAACACAGGTTTTTTGAGCTTTTGGCCAATCAGCACCTGTATTTTTAAAAGGCTATTTTATAAACTGAATTGGGTCTTTTGAAAATAAATGCCGACCTGTATTTAATCCAATATTCAGGCCCACAGGGTTTGACAAAAATACACTCCTTTGCCAGATGTTTGATAACATTTTCCAGGTTTGGGGCCTGAGAATGAAATGAGCTTTTTGTTGGCTGGTCAGCAGTAATTACAATGTATTTTCCTGCCATTGTCATTGAACTCTGCACAAGTTGTGAAAGGTGAGTGATCTTAATTTGCATTAAATTATCATATACATACGATGCCACTCTAAGTTTAACTCAATATAGCCCTTATTATCTTTTGGGAAATGTAGCAACGATATTTTTTACATGTTATTACTTATTAGTTGTTTTTTTGTTTAGTATCGCTGTACTTTATGAGTTTTGCTGTATAAAAATACAAAGATCAAGTAAAATATACAGTAATACTAAACACAAAAACATAAAACTAGGGATTTTTTGTTCAACTACACTGTATTTTTCTATTTAAGTGTTTTTAATTTTAAACAATCAGTACTTTTGTGGAAAAAACTTTAAAAATGGCGGAAATGCAAGCAGCCGAACTGATGCGGGGATAAACATCAGGACGTTTTGAACATACATGAAGTCAAGCTGATGCTAACGATTGTGTGGACAGTTTCATATCCTAAGTACTCATATTTGATGCAGGCATAAATGCACACCAGCATTTTGTGAACTTAAAAAAGAGACTTTACGATATATGACGTGCTGAAACATGAAGACGTCAAACAAATATGACTTTCGCTAAAGATAAAATACAGCAGTGAATACATTGAACTCCCTAAAGAGCAGGGGTCGGTTGCATAAAACTCTTAACTACTTTTTAACTACCTTCTTGTAGTTAAAAAGTAGTAACACTAAGATAAGTGGCTAACCTTCGCACTAAATATAGTTGATTTTAACTAGTACTTTTTATACAGTTCAACCCTAGGTGACTTAGTGCATTCAACTGTTTTCCGTAACTACTGTTGTTTTTCTTGCGTTGGCAGAGGCTACAGGGAACGTAATGAAAAGGAGCAGCTTGGGCTAAAACAAGGTTGTATATATGTTGAGCTTGTATATCCTTAGGTCACTTAAGGATTGGTTTACAAACGAAGATTTATCCTGTACGATTTGTATTTTGGCGTATGTTAATTGCTGTCAACACCACAATTCTGCTTTATTTAGTTTGTGGTGAAATTTGAAATGCAGTCATTTTATGCGTGCTTATTCGATTACTTAACATGCAAATCATACACGATAAATCATTGTGTGTTAACTGACATTGATTCTCAGACAAATTGAAAATGCTGAGATGTGTTAAGGTGCATGTGCACACAACCTGATTAACAATATATACAGTAAAAGGCTGTTTTCAGTTCAAGTGTATCGTAAATTTACACTTAGCCTAATTTATGGTCTCGCTATATCGGTATCTCATTGCTACGCACAAAATAAAGATAAAACATTCTTTAAGCAATGGATACCACTATGGCTGGCTATATGATACGGTTGAAATAGAATGTTCAGCTATAAATAATGAATGTTTATTCTTAATCACATGCAGTTAGTTATGGCCAATGTCAGCCATTTGGAAAGACACAAGTCATGATCGTATTTACGTGTTACCATCATTCAAATAAGTGGCTAAAGAGCAACTTTATCAACTGCATAAAAACCCTGTCTTCAAGGGGCATGACAAGCAAAACATTCTCTTTAACCTTTTCATAACCTGCAACAAATTTTTGGGCTAAACATTGGACAGGTATGAACGAAGATGCACCAAGGCTCTCGACAAAGTTCGCACACCAAATCTCTGGTGTAACACTGTCATTGCCACAATGAAACTGCTCAGGGTGATACTGAAACCAGCGCACGTATGCGAAACAGAACAGATAGAGGTTGCCACGATAGCTAATGCACTGTCGAATGAAATATTCGATCATACCTGGCCTGTGATTAAGGGCTTCCAAATCGACACTACCATCATGTCGTCCAGCCAACTTTGCCACAATGTACACAACACAATTGAGATGCGAAAAACTAGAACCATAACGTTCACCCACAAACGCCACTGAAGAGTACTTTTCATATACTTGATAATGGTATTTATTTATTTAGCTTTGCCTTGACAAAAAACGTACACAATACAAGTACAACAATTCATATACACGAGACATAACAAGAGGCAGGGACACCACAACAGTTTACACCAATTACTGTGGGTCCTTTAGTTAAAATTATTGACAAATTGCAGATGAAAAAAAACAAACTAATTAGTCTAGTAGCAACAGGGATCGACATCGACTAGATTGCGTAATGTGTTGCACTTCAGGCAAACAGTTTTCCATGTTCGAGCATCATCCATGTCGTAACAAGACACAAGGGCATTATGGTAGTATTCTAATAGTGACTTTTTAAATAACGTTAGAGATAAATGATCTAGTCTTAAGTGTTTGTGTAAGGAGTTCCAGGTTCTAGTTGCTCTAATAAAAAATGACCATTGATAGGTGGCTGTCTTACATCTACGTGGACGGTACAAGATAACACTGTTATTTGAAGATGATCGAGTAGACCTTGAGGGAATAGATCGTTTTGGCAAGATTTCCTTCGGAACAGTTATAATACCATTTATGGCCTTAAAAAAGAACATCAAGTAAGATACTCATGCCAATAAGAGGCTGGTAACAGATTTATAGACAGATGATCTGTCTTTGTAGGATTCTGTACATGTGAAGGGCAGCTTAAGGATAAATTTTGAAGCTCGGTGTTGAACACGCTCTGTCTTTCTGACTAGTTCAATTGACTGCGGTGACCAGACTTGTGTGGCGTAGCCTAATGCAGGACGCACAATTGCCAGGTAGAGCGTTCAGTGGGTGTTTGGATTTCCGACTTCCACAGCAGATCTGTGCAGGAAGCCAAGCAACTTGTTAATTTTTGCACAACGGTCAAGGTGTGTTTTGACCAGGTAAGCGCACCAGTAACCCAAATACCCAGGTCTTTCTCTTCCGATGAAATTTCCAGTAATTTGTTATTTATCTCATAGGAGAAGTCGATCGGGTTCTTTTTCCTGGTAATTTGCTGCAGCTTGCACTTGTCTTGATTAAATACAAGCCTGGAATTAGTTGACCAATTGCCCAGACTATTCAGATCACTCTGAAGCAAGCTAGCATCCGAGATGGAGTCAATGCACTTAAATACCTTAGTATCATCTGTGAAAGATGAAACCTTGGAGTTCTTTACGGCATTTGGAAGGTCGTTCACATAGAGGAGGAAAAGTATAGGGCCTAATATTGAACCCTGTGGTACTCCTGACAGTACAAGTTTTTCAGAGGAGGTGGCGCCTAGCACAGTAACGTGTTGCCTACGGTCTAACAAGTAGGTCTTGAACCAACAGAGCAAGTTACCAGAAATGTTGAAGCAGTTGTTTAGCTTATTGAATAGGGTTTCATGGTTAACTTTGTTGAAGGCTTTTGACATTTCCATATAAGTATATCTGGAAGAAAGATCTTATACACTTCGTAGATGCAATGAAGCTCATCATTATCAAAATAATCAATTACATGAGGGGACCCGAAATCATAACCATTCAAAGAAAACCACAAATCATTTGTAATGTCAAACCTGCATTCACTAGTTTAAGAATGTCAAGGCACAGTTTGTTATCCATTACGAGCATGTCTGACTTACGATCAGTGTGGCTCAAATGGTCGGTTATATCCTTGAAACGTGGTTGGAATTCATTCGGAAATTGAAAGTCTCTCTAAACTCTGGTCTCGCACAAACTTTCACATAATTTGCAATTCAACCGATCTGTTGTTTGTGTGATAGAACGTTCCCTAATATCCCATTGTATCTTTCAAAACTGAACGGTCAAAAACTGTACACTGGACCATAATCAAGAATACAGTCAGCCAAATGAGTATGCATGTGCATGTTTGGCGTTATTCGTTCCTTGCCATACAGTTCCTCCACATCATGACCAAACTCAATCAAAAGAGAGTGCGCAGTACCTACTTCTGATATTCAAATCATTGATTTGGATGACAGTTTGCTGCATGCTTTAACAAAGTTTAACCAACATTTGTAATGATGACTGGGGAGGTGACCAAACAAAGCAGAAAATACCCATTACCCAAGTTTTCCACTGTTCTGCTGTAAATCCACTGAAATAAAATGCTTTGCTATTTTGTAAGGTATATGGCCAAAATTTGATGGGACATTTGTTGCGTCAACTTTAGACTGAATATGTTCTAAATCTGCCTGAGTCAAACGAGAGAGATCGATCCAAATCTCCATCATGCGTTTAGAGCAGGTTATGCATCGGGTAGACAATTGTGAATCTTATACAGTCGTAGTATGGCAATCTCAGCAGCTCCGTATTCAGATTCTTTTGCATTACGTTAATTCTTGTGTGGGTTGTGCTAATATGTCATCGACATGCTTTCGACGATTCAAAGGATTCCTGGAACGACATGTTTCAAATCCTGAGTTATCTACTGGCTCACCGACACTGCGAGTTCCAAATTATTTCGTACATTGATTACATCCATGTTTAGAGTTATGAGCAGTGAAACCACAAACCTTTCTAGTGACTGGCATATTGCAACCTATGCACAACAAGGCTGCTCTGAACAGTTCAGGAAACAGTGGTGAACCAGAATTCCTAAGCTGGATGCCATCTTTCCACAGTAAACAAACTCATCAACAAGAGGCCTTAAAAAGGAATTAATGTCCTGAGGTTCGTTTGGACCAGGAATAATTCCAACAAGAAAAATATTTTCCCGCTTAAAGCATTCAGTTCTCGGTAGATTCATCAACACTAGATACATCACCCCGACAGAATACTCTGTGTGATTAAATGGTTGCATCCAGTCAACATTCAACATAAATGCATAATTCCATGGGGATGCCAAAAAAGAACATCGAATGTCATGAAATCCTCCCAAATACGACCTTCAAAAGACGTCACACATAATCTGATGACCTGTCCAGATTTCCAGGCTTCACCATAATTGGCACCGTTCTGTAAAACCTGACTGCATAACAAACTGTTTTAGTGTTTCAACAATACTTTGATAACAAAATATCCATGTATTGCTCTGTGTGTCAAAGTACGCTTCCCTATGTCTCCTGGACGGTAAATAGCTATCACAGTGAGGGCAAATAGTCAAGTAATTATTGTGTGCCGCCATAGTTTTGATTTTTAGGTTGCTATGGAAAGAAATGTTCAAAGGCATTATAAGGTGATATAATATGTAAGATGGGGATAACACATAGACAGAAATTTAAGACATCAGTACTGAGCATGCTCATAAATTGGCACAAAAAATGGCGCTGCCATTATAGGGGAATGCATAGGGAAAAAACAATTTTGATATATTTGAGTCGGAATATGATAGTACTTTTGATGAGTGTAGCTAATATAATTCCTATTAGACCTGGCCAATTTCATAAAAACAAGTAGATTCTCTCAACTGCCAATGATCAACGGACTTGACCGATGAAATTTGCCAACATTGCTCTGTGATGTACATATTTTCATTCATATTTCCAGCTATTTTAAAAGCAATCTGATGTATTTATCCTGATCCATTTTAACATTAAAATATCTTATATTTACGAGTACATCAAGTCCATTAATGATACGACATGGTAGAGCCCATACAGTTTCCCGCAGAAATAGTGGAGCATGACGACCAAATTGAACAACCGATACAACAGCAAGATGTTCAATAGCCGCCGCCTCCTCAGCAGCAACACGAACCTCCGGTTGCAGCTCCTGGCAACTTGGCGGTATGTGGCATGGTTTTGTTCTGTGTACTTGTGTGTAATGTCGATTCACTGTTTCGTCTGTCTTCAAATAACATGATATCGCACCCTATTTTACAAGTGCATTATATGCTTAGTTTGTATTTCTAAAAGACTTCAATCTAATTAGTTTCTGTGGCATGTGTTGATTGTCTCATTTGCCCGTAGAATCACTAATGTTTCGTTTGTTTTTTTCTGATTTATCTATAATATATATTATTCTTTTATTCTTATTGTTATTCTTTATGCTATATGTATAACTCGGGGCATAGGATAACAATATTGAGCATAAACTTTGATTGTGCAATGCAGTTTATTATATGCTTCAGTAACTTTCCGGGATGGGCAGTTGTAAAGTATTGTTGTCCATGTGTTTAGAGCGTAACTCACTATACCATTGTGTCTCGGGCTATTTTGTGTTCATATATGATGTGTGATTATGTGTAAGTTATTTGATTGTAATGCATGCAGAGTGCGTTTATTCCAACTTATATGGCATCATTACCGATTATACGGCGTGCGTTTTCACTAGATTGTAATACAGGGTGAGTGTTCACCAGCATAATAGCGGGTGAGTTTTTACCGGGTTGATACTGGGTGAGTTTTTACCAGTTTTGTAGTACAGGGTGAGTTTTCACCAGATTGTAATATGGAGTGAGTTTTCACCACATTGTAATAAAGCGTGAGTTTTCACCGGGATAATACTGGGGGTGAGTTTTCACCAGATTTGTAGTACAGGGTGAGTTTTCACCAGATTGTAAAACAGAGTGAGTTTTCACCAGCTTTTCTAGTACAGGGTGAGTTTTCACCAGATTTGTAGTACAGAGTGAGTTTTCACCAGATTGTAATACAGAGTAAGTTTTCACCAGATTTGAAGTACAGGGTGAGTTTAATTTTCACTACCTTGGTATATAGAGTGAGTTTTCATGGAAATCACAATGGGTGAGTGTTCAACAGATTGTAATGCAGGGTGCGTTTTTACTGGCCTAACGCAAGGTGAGTTTTTGTGTGGATAATACAGGGTGAATATTCACTAGATGATAATATGTGAACTGAGTTTTCACCACTTTATAGAGCGAAGGGCGATTTTTCTTTGCAATTCTTTCAAAGGGGTGACATTTTCTCAACATATATATATGCTATTTATTTGTGTTTTGATATGGGTCTCTTATCCTGGTGATATTTTCCTTTTAGAATTTGAAAGGAGAGGCGCAAACTCTTCAAAAAGCTTTAGATATCCTAACTAAGGCATCTGTTGAAAGTATCCTTCATCGTCTTCTCAATTTTATGGCCTCCCCATTGACTGAGTTCAATAAATATGAAGCCTTAGAGATGACTGAGGAGTTACAGAATACAGCCCACGACCGTAACCACCCTAAGGAGCGTTATTACAGAGTTGTGTACCAGACTGTAAGAGAGAAAATAGAGGTCCCACCTCTTCAATTTCATGCCCTTTTACTGCGTTTATTGGGAGATAAAGATCAAGAACGGGTCTCGGAGATTGTTTCTAAGGTAGAAAAGCATTTTATGCGACAGCGACCTTAACATGTTCCACCAATGTCGAGATATTCGCCCCGCGGTCGTGGTGGCACACCTCCATGGACACATGCCCGTTGCTTCTATTGTAATAAAATTGGCCATTTTCAGTCTCATTTGCAACAAGGAGATGGACAGGTCTCCGGCAACGCGAGACCACATTCCCAACCGAACAATGCACAGTATCAATAAGTTATACTAGTGTGGTCTAACTATACGGTTGGATTTCAATTCTAGTGTGCTTCCATCTCTAGATTTCTGGATGGAATAACTAATGTTACTGATAACTACGGAAAATAATTCTAAACATAAATTTATGCTTGAATTTGCTGTCAACTTTATTAAATGAATTTTGTTATTATCCCCTTTGTTTTTCTGTTGTTCCTTTTGTTGTTTGTAATTTCCTTCTCTAAAAAAAAATTCTTGTCCTCCAGTGGTGGTGTTGTAATTGCCTTGAAAATGGGTAACTAAATCAAATCCTCCTAGTTTACTGGGTCAAGGCACTCACTTCCCTGCTGACTTGGGATCCCCTATTGTGCATGTTTGCATTTTTACTCCATGTGGTTAATTCATTGTAGACTTTTGCCCCTTGGCAATGGGAGTATGATGTCGAGTTTGATGCACATGTTATTCAGACTACTTTACCGACTCAAGCCGTTGGTTGGGTTACTTCTGTTGGGGAACCCATGGTGGTAAGCGGGGAGGTCGCACCTACTACTGGCCTTGATCGTCATGTCACAAAGTAGAAACGGGAGATGTTGTTGGACATGTTTCTTAACTTGTTTTTTGTGATCCAGACAGCTTTCGTGCAGGCAAATTACACTGTCATTTTCCTTTTTCGGAGACAATTGCTGGTAGGCATCCCTCGCTTCAACACCATCAAGTGTTGGGTTGGATTCGTAACAAGGTTACGCTTGCTACATACTTCCGTCATTTTACGGGATCTTTCGAGGGAGAACATTACAATTCTGATCTCCCTCCTCCGAAGTTGTTCGTGAATAATGGATTGTGTAAATCGCAAGACCCTTTTTGCCCGCTTACGATCAGGGGCTATTTCTCTTGTGGATGAGTAGGTTATGTTACGTGACCACAACTTGTGCTTCCGGCGGTTGACAGTGGAACCTGCCCAGCCACGTCTCTGTCATGATGCCAGTGATTCCTATATTGGAAAACTTCGTTCTATTTTGACTGCTAACGGTAGGGATGGTGAATGGACAGATGGTTGGGGCTAGGGAATCCTGCTGCTGATAAACTCTTAAAAGACTATTTGTGTCTCGTTTCCGCGGAACAACTTCAGGCGAGAGTAACCCCTAAGCAGGCTACACCTTTCTTTGTCAATAAACTTAACCAACTTTCGGTACACCTTCAGAAAGCCTTGCCGATTTCGAAGACATCTACTAAATGCTTCATTGTTGCTCGTGATCGAGCATATTTTACAATGGCGTTTTTAGTGGCGATCGACCTGGAGATCTCGGCCTCGTTCACATACAAAATACCTGGAATTTTTGCGCTTTCGTAATGACGATGGGCTCTTGTTTAATCATATTTGGGGTAAGACATTAAGGAGTGGTGACCAAAATGTGTTTGGAATTCGGCGTACTCCGCAAACCAATATCTGCCCAATTCGAGCTATAGAATAATATATTGATGTGGCGAGACAAATGAATGTTGATCTTACTCGTGGCTACCTCTTTCGATCAACCACACCTAATGGCGGAATTCAGAATGTTTCATTTACATCGGCAGCTGCAGAGGCTAGATTCAAGATCTATTTGAAAGTCATGGGTACTGATGAAGGTGAAACCCTACATGGTTTTAGAGCTGGTTGTGCTATCACATTAGCCATTACTGGGGCTGATTTGTGTGAAATCATGGGGCATGTTGGTTGGAATCGTCGCCACACAGCTCCCTACTATATGCAGCTGGCCAAAGTTTTGCGCCCTGAGGGTGTATCGAAACATTGGCTGATCTGGATGTTATCAACGTTGTGAATCCTTGGCAAGATGTCAATATATTAAAGCGTTTTGTGTGTGCTTTTCCATCAGATAATCTCGTAAGGCATGCAGATCCAGAATCTGGATGAATATGCGATTGGGATATTTTTTAGATATGAGGATTGGGAAATAGAGCTTAAGTATGATTTACAGAGGGGCATGTTGGGTAGCAAGGGTGTAGCGATGACTAGATTTTGCCTGACGTTGGTCAATATTTTGCAATACCTTAATTACAACTGAGCATGAATATGAGTGGTATGAAATAGGATACTATTCATACCACTCATAATGATATGCGAAAATCAAACAAGCTAAAATATTAGTAACAAAGGAAGTAATTAGAGTGGAACGGACTAAAGGATTAACTGGGAGTATATGAATATGAGTGGTATGAAATAGGATACTATTCCCAGGGCCGGATTAATGTTGCATGAGGCCTGTGGCAGATTTTTAGTGCTAGACCCCCAACCCCCCTTCATTATGAAAACCTTTGAATTCAAAGACACAAAATTGTTAAATAACTGTTCTCAATTTTATCCGCAAATCACAGCAATTTTGCAGCCAAGTTATCTCCCACCAAAATTTCGGAATAATTTTTCGTTACGTTAAAACTGGTTTCAAACATCAATGAAACCTTTATATCTTATAATTTCGGTGCTTGAACAACCTGAATTATTGCATACTCAAACTGACCTGACCGTGTAGCTCAGTTGGCAGAGCATTGGGCTAGTATTCCAAAGGTCATACGTTCGAATCCCACCGTGGCCAGGCATGTTTTTCAGGCCTGCCTGGTGTGGATGTACACTCAGAGTAACATCACACAAGAATCTTATTCACCTGAATACATTACACCAACACAACAAATAACGTGAATTAATTGGCCTTGTCTGGCCCAGTATTGCATATTTTCCTAGGGCCAAATGCCAAGCCTAGGGGCCGTAAATGCACAAGGTCGCTAAATTCGCAAGGCATCTAAATTCGCTTGGCACCTACAATCCTGGTCAAAAATCCTTGGCGCACTTAGCCGAAATAGCATAACCTTTACTTCATTTCTGATTACCATATACATACTTGCCCATTTTATGCAAAATTTCATGTCCAAACACCCCTATCCCCATTATCAACATTGAACGGGAGAAAGGGGGGGGGGGTTGCTATGCTTGTTATTGATGTGGGAGTCAAATTTCGCACAGTCGGTGTCAAGTGCACCAACATTTTTTACCAGGATTGTCCAAATATAAAAATGAAACTAAAATTTATATACATATATAATTTTGACTCAGAGGTGTTTCTACGTATATTGGGTGGCGTGTTCTAGATGATTTCGTTGGGAGTTACTGAAAACCTAGCATGCGCGTTGTAATGTTGATAATTATGACATCATATGTGGGGGTGTTACTATGAATTATGATAATCCCGTGTATATAAAATGAGGCTGGCTACAAAATAAAATTGAATAACTAAATATTCATTTCGATAATTAGATTCATTTAAGGATGATTTACACAAGAAAAATCACAGCAAAAACAAGGTTTTGGTACTTTATTATAGAAAGGAATTGGGTTTTTCGAATAGGGAGATCATGAGAAAATGTCATATAAAAGCCCTTCATCAGTAGCAAGAATATAGAGGGAAGACCAACAACCAGCTGCGGTGAGATCTAAACAGTTAAAAGGCAACAAGGGTCGCCCAAGGAAAGTTGATGAGCGATTATAATTGTCGCTATAGTTTATGGGAAAGTTGTGGTTCTCAAAGTTCCCTATGAGAAAATGCAGAGTTCATTGGAAAGCATTTTAATACTTGTTTTGCAAAGTGCAGACCCGTAAAAAAAGATCTTCACCTGTTTCTCATGTATAATGACCCATCACAAACAAGTAAAGCAGCGCGAAAAGCAATTGAAAAAATCGAGACTGAATTTCACAAGATTCCGGCTAGATCGCCACACATGAATGCGATTGAACATGTCTTTTGCTTGGTAAAGAAAAGTCTCGAGAATGAAGCAATTGCTAATAATACAACGTAAGAAAAACCTTCCAAGACTTTTCAGCGCAGGCTCTAAAATCCTTGGAAAATCTGTCAACTGATGTAATCGATCGTACTATTTCAAGCCTAAATCCAGGCTAAATCATTGGTGACACTGTTTCTGGCCTTAGGAGGGGTACTACAAGGCTATGGCAAGGCTAACATCAGTATATTCATGTACCACACTTTATGAGGATTTACCAAGGAATCCGAAATGTTTCTGGACAAGGTGGGTTTAAAAAAAGCTTTTATCTGATTCTGCTTGGAGAGAACTGGGGATACAGCCCTATATGCTTGTTTATTTTTCGTCACCATACTGTTAGGTATGAAATGATGATTGAACTTGTTAAATTAAATTCTTTTGTGTTATTTCTTTTTACTAAATAGGTGTTAAAAAGCTCATTTAAGTGATCAACAGCAAACTCCAAGGCAATACAAAAAGACAGTGACAGATTATTGGTCAAAAGGAATCAGAGAGAGTCATAGCAAGCGACCTCGTTTGTGCACTCAAGCTGACAATGATGAACATGTTTATTTACACCTTACTCAGGAAGATCTTCGATCCTGTTTGAAGGATCTGGGAGTGAAAACCCGAGTTAAAAACATCACAAGGTTCTGTGACATGTATTGCATTCCATTGCAATCTTCGACAAAATAGTTAGCAAAAGCCACTATTGTATTACAACACTTAAACCAGCAACAACTGGGAAGTTTTTATCTCTCTTCTGTTACTCAAACAGAAATCGAAAATGAAATTAATCAACTAAGGATTAATAAATCAGTTGGGCCATACAGTCCTTGAGACATTCACTTTCAAAACCATTGGAAATTTTGTTAAATCTTTCTTTCACTACATGCACAGCCCTTACGAAAATGTTCTATAGAATATTACATTGAAATATTCTATGGAATATTCTATGAAATATTCTAAAGGATTTTGGAACCTATTCTATGGCATATTCTATGGGATAGTTTATGGGATATTCTAATGGATATTCATTTGAATTCTATAGAATATTCTATGAAATATTCTAAAGGATTTTGGAACCTATTCTATGGGATATTCTATGCAATATTCTATTGGACATTCAGTTGAATTCTATACAATATTCTATAGAATGCTCTATAAAAAATTCTATAGAAAGTTCTATGGAATATTATATGGAATATTCTACTGAATATTCTATGGAACATTCAGTTGAATTCTATACAATATTCTATAGAAGGTATGGAATATTCTATATAACATTCTGTATTAGATTCTTTAAGATTTATAAAAGTTTGTATTATGAAACATTTATTAAAACACAATTATCATTGTATACAGAACTTGTTTAATTATTAACTAAACATTAGTGAAACAGCTAGTTAACCAATCAGAATTATATGTTTATAGCTACCATTGAACTACAGTAGGAAATGGGTATTTAAAAAGTAGTCAGCAGCTGCAAGATACAACTGCCTCATGCCTGGAAACAATTATAGCAATTTTATTTGGTGGAGAATATCACTTACATAAACTTTGCAGCAAAGATTTCAATGTGCCTGGATTTCAATATTAAGTATGTAAAAACAGATGTAAATATCCAGGCTTAAATTAAAATTAAGTGCTGCCAACAGAACCAATGTACGTGGCATATTGTCCACAAAACAAAACAACTATGCAAGAATTTAAAAATAAACATTGGGCTAGTCAAACTGTTGTAGGATTACACTATTTACTGAATATTTTTATTAGAATAAGTGTCAATGTTACTGTTATGTGCAGATAATTTCTTTTTTTCACAATATTGTTAATCCTTGTGTTCATCATTGTTAATCCTTGTGGTCACCATTGATGCATATGGTCTTGAAGAAGAATACTGGCCATTTTGCAATAGTCGTAATTGCTCTTCCAAGTTGTAAACAATATCTGTTAGGCATGGCATTACTATATAGAAATGAAAAATAAGTAAATTTTACTCATTACGTTTCATTGCATCCTACTTTATTATTTTACTCGGTCTAACACCAGACAACTTTACTCTTCAAGGGGAGAGCAGTTTTGTTCAATGGATTAACCCTTTCATGCACCCCGTATGCCCAACTTTAGTATTTACTGTCTAACGCTCACTCTATCTCATCGTCTGTGTAAATTTAGTATTTACTCTGTCAGACAATGTTACTCGTCAAGGGAAGAGTCTTGAACATTAATGGTTAACAAGGCATGTTAACCTGTTAACCCCATAAATAATAAATTTAACATTAAATAAATCTTAATTAACTCAATTAAACACATACCAGTTGCCACGGCCCAGTTTAAGGGTGTTTACAAGATCCAGACTGAATTGTCTGGCTTGGGGGGCCACTTTAGATAGGCCAGTATATAATTTTCTTCATATAAAGCACTAATTAAGAAGACTAGTCTGGCTATAGGCAAGGCTACGATATTCTGTATCAATTGCAATAAACTTGGACAGTGCTAGTTTTACCTCAGAACACCACTTTGTCAACTCAATGCAGAAATTTCCAACTGTTGAGAACAATATTTTGAGCCGGGCTATAGCCCAGCTGCAATATTTAATCTAAAAATATACAAGGACAACATTTGAGGCTTTGTGTCAACACTAGCTAGTGACTATACTGCTTATTCCAGCTTTACAAACATATCATTTTATACACCTGAAGCTCATTAACCCATTCCCAAATTTGAATTTTGGGCAAATAATGTGCTGCAATTTGCAGCTTTCAACACACTGAAAATATCACATCAATACTTATATTTCAAGTATTAAAATGATAACATATCTTAATAATATTAATATATTTCATATACTTTGACAAAGGTCGTCTAGCAGTGCCAAATTATGCCAAAGGCAAAGACACTTCATATTGTGGATTGTTATAATTAAACAACAGTGCGTATAAATTTAGTATAGAATTCCCAATAATATATATTCGAATTCATATTTTATTCTTTCTTCTATCGCTA